GCCTAGCATAGGGACCTATGCCTCGGGAGGGGCAGGTTCCGATCCCTGTTCCCTATCACAGCCGGGTGGGCCACCTGCTGCTGGAACCCCGAGACCACACCTTCCCGCCTTTCTCTGTTCATTCCCTCCCACTAGGAGAGTGGTCTCTCCAAGACCCTTAACCTCCATTTCAGAGCTCCCCCCACCCCAGAGGGACACTGTCGTGGCTCCTCCCCAGTGACTTCCCAGCCCCGAGTGCACTTCTCTGGGGGGAGAGAGACCTGGGCCCCCATTCTGCTTCCTGGACTGCCTTGTCTAGCTTCACTGCCCTGTCTCAGGTGGAATCCGCTCCTTCCAGGCGGCCCTTCAGTTCTCCTAGAAATGCTCTCTGGCTTGGGTTCCTTAAAGCCGCCTGAGTCTTCCCTGTGGCCCCCGCCCTCCTTGGCCACTTCTCCTTTCTTGATGGCTGTCCTTGCTCCCCTCTTCCCCAGTGACCTCACCACTTTCACGGTTTCAACGCCCTCCATGCGCTGAGGCTCACCCGTGCCTATCCCTCCCCAGAGTGCTGGATGCACACATTTAACTAACTGCACACAGAACAACCCTCAGCGTTTCACATCTCTCTCTCTCTCACTCACTCGCTTGGTCACTACCATCCAGTCCGTGCGGACTCACGGCCACCCTACAGGACCGCCTAGAACTGCCGCGTGAGTTTCGAGACCAGCTCTATGGGAGTAGAAAGCCCTGTCTTTCTCCGCCTCTATCAACTCTGAGGGCATTAAAAACCCCTGGTCAATGAGTCAGTTCCAACGGACTGAGGGCCTGACAAGGGTCCGAGTGGACTGCCCCAGGGGAGGTCCATGTCTGCCCTTTCAGAAGTGTCCCCAGGACATCCCCCAAGGCACTCTCTCCTGGGGGACCTGAACCTCGCAGCCTTTGGTCTGCAGCTGAGCCTGTTCCCCCACTGGCACCACCCATCAGGGGGACTTAGCACATTAAAGCACGGGGTTTCTCAGCACGGTGCCTGGCATGTACACCCTTAATACAGGGTAGCTGTCACTGCTATTTGCAATCGGACTCTCCATTCCATTTTAATAGGCAGACACACTAATTTGAAAAGAGCAGATCAAACCTCCCCCTAGGAATCAGAGGGGGAGGGGAGATAAAGTTCCTTCCTAGAACAGCTGAGATTTCTCCACGCCAATCACAGCATGCCATCCTCTCCAGGAACGGGCTCCTAAACTCTATCTCCAAGTCCCCTAATTAATTAATAAGTGTTCCAGTGAACACGCCTGTTGACAACCTTGGTGGCTTTTGGCAAGGTCGGGTCAGCCCAAGCAAGCCCAGACTTATTGTGGCAAATCCCACCGGCTTCTGAGATGTGAGACATGATCCCCACACGGCAGAAGCAGCACCTCGTTAGAGAGAGTTAATTGGGAGGACAAATGGGGGGACGAGGTCCTCCCTGCCAACTGGCTGGTGGCCTTGGTATCATAGGTCACACACAGGCCTCCAAGCACCCTCCGGTGCCCTGGCTGGCTGGCTGGCTGGCAGACATCCGGTAGGCACCAGGCTGCTGAGGAGGGCGTCCGCCATCTTGCCCTACCTTTCTGTCCCTCCTGACAACAAAGACCTGGGTGCTAAGGGTGCTCTTTTCAACCCACAGGAGTGGGTGGGCTGCAAACAGGAGGGGTTTGGGTGAGAGCAGCGGTTCTCAACCTTCCTCATGCCTCGACCTTTTCATACACTTCCTCTTGTGTATGAAACCATACACAATCATAACATGATTTCCGCTGCTACTTCATCACTGTCAGTTTGCTACTGTTATGAGTCGGGTGACCCCTGCGAAAGGGTCGTTTGCCTCTCAAAGGGATCGAGACCCACAGGTTGAGAACCACTGGGTTAGAGACTCAGCCGAACCACGGTAAGAAGAGCCTGGCTTTGTGGGCTGGGCCTGCTCACTCCCAATGGCCTTTGTGGCTGAGCTGGAGGCACGGCGGGCAAATGCCCGGCTCCCATTAGTAGCCCCAGAGGAACACGCAGGAGGCCCACCGACCAGGACGGAGCTGCCCCAGCTGCCTCACCTCTCTGCTGCCTGAGAGCCATGGGCCATGGGCAAACCCCACACCCGCTTTCTTATGGACTCTGAACTAGGAATAGGGCTACCTAGAGCTTCTTCCCAGAGGAGCGGCTGGATGCATGGCCTTGCCTCCTCTGGGCTTCCGTTTCCCCATCTGAGGTGGGAGGGGGACACCGGGGATGGTCCCTGATTCTGTGACATGGGTTTGCTCTGTCATGGGCACCCCCTCCCCCCAACCACCACCACCACAGACTAGCTAAGACTTCCCTGCAGCTGCTGAGTACAGTGGAGCCTTGTGCACACAGCCCGGTAACTCGGGCCTTTGCCTGGGATGGAGGATTCCGCCGGGTCCCATGGAGAGAAGCAGTGGCCTCGGGGTTCAGCCTCTGGGGTGGGGATGCTGGGACCACTGAGAATGGGCCCATTTTCAGAACCTGTTGGCCAACTGGAACCCCCCCTCTCCCCCCCTGCTCCCCGGCCCCCACTTGGCGTGGCGTTCCCAGGCTGCTCGGCGCTGCCGCTGTTCAGTCATCCTCTGGGGCATGGGGCCCAGGCTTCATATCCAGGCTGGGCCTTGTGGGCACAGGTGCTTCGGAGACAAGTCACCTGGCAGGAGTCCTGTCCCTGTGTGCCCTGGGAGGTCCCAGCTCTGTCACTGTCTAAGTCGGGGAGTAACTCCAGGCCCCACCCTCCAAGGACTGCTGGGTTGGGGGCTGAGTCCCATGGCCCCGAGGGAACCTCACAGGACACTCACTCCCAGGCTGGGCCCTCAGTTCCACCTTCGCCCGCTTCTCCTGTGGGCCCTAGGCGGTACAAATGGGAGAGGTGCTCAGCTGCTGTGAGGTGCGTCTACCCAGAGGCACCCTGGGAGAAAGGCCTGCTAGTCCAGGAACATCATCCGCCGAGAACCCGGTGGAGCCCGGGTCTACTCGGACAGGGGCTGCTACAGAGTTGACAGCAGCCGGTTGGTTGGCTGGTCTACTTCCTTCCAGTAGCTATGGCACCCACACCTGCAGCCGGGCCCAGCGTGGTCTTCTCCTGGGGTCAGCTATTCCAAACACAGCGCCCCTTCTTTGACTGGCTTGAGTTGGCTGTCCATCCAACACCGTGTCCTCCTCTCAGCCTGGCCCCACCGTCCACTATTCCAGCTGTCTCCAGAAGGCCTCGGCCTGAGCACACTCAGACCCCTGCCCTGCGCTAGAAGCTCACCCACACCTCTTCCCGGATGGGTGTCCCCAGCCTCAACCATCCCCTTAAGGACCCCTCACACCACCTACCAGGCTTCTCTGCTGATGTGTGTCTCACCCCTCTCCCTTCTCCGCAGTCCTCTGACCTCTGACCCCGCTGCCTTCTCCCCAAAAACCCTCTTCCTCGAACTCCCCAGCCCCACCTGCAGCCACACCACTGCCTTTCTTCTTCCTCCTAGGAGAGGAAGGCGGGGCTGCCCCATCCCTGTGCCGGGTCCCACCCCTCGGCACCGACTCTCTCCTGGGATCCCTCCCAATGCCGGCCCCCGTGGCCTGGAACCTTGCCTTCAGCGCGGACACAAGTCCAGCACGTCCCCCTTAGAAAGGAAACCTGACAGATAGCAGAAGTCCCTTGAGCCCACCGCTCAGCCCAGCCGCTGGCCTGGCCCTGCTCTCCTTGGGCTACGCCAGCCCCTCTGCCCCATGTCCTACTGGTCACCTGCCCGGGTCCTCATGCTCCAGACACCAGTGCACTCGGTTCAGGCCTCACCGCGCTGGACCTCGTAACAGTCCCTGACCCTGCAGACCCCCCAAAGCCTTGACCTCTCTAGCCACGCCTCCTGGGACCCGCTTAGCTCCACCTTCCCGGCGGGACCCCACCTCGTCCTCACTTCCAAGACGGTTTTCCTACGCTGTGTCCTCCCCTTCTGTCCCTCCAGCCCACGCCTGTTCCGTGCTCCTGACCCCGGGCAGCCACCGTGGGCCTGTTCTTGGATATTCCTCCAGGCCCAGTGAGCCCAGCCTGACATCTTCCCTCACGCCGGCCCCTCCCCCAGGGCCTCCATCTTGCCAGGGTACGCCTGCATCTGCCTGGTTGTTCTAAATCAGAAAGCTGCCGTCCCCCTGCCAGCTACGTCCCTCCCCACCACAGTCAGTTCTTAACCAAATCCCCAAATCCCGAGAAAGCTTCCTCCTATTTCTCAAACGGGCTCACTTCCCTCGATGGATGCCCACTGCCAGCAGCCTGGTCCAAGCCACCGCCATCTCTCGCTGGATGCCTGCCCAGCTTCTGGATGGCTCCCTTTCCTCCAGAGCTCCAGCCCGGCCCCTCCCTGCAGCCACCAGGACCCCCCACACCAGAACTCTGGGGGCCCTGCTCTCCGTGAAACCTCTGATGGCCTTCCCAGCCTCCGACGCCCTGGTCCACCTCACGCTCAGCTCCCTCCTTGCCTGCAGTCAGGTCTGAGGACAAGCCTGCTGCGGCACCCCAGAACCTTCCCACCAGGGGCTCCCTGGCCTACGTGTCTCCCCCCGGCCTTTTCATTGGGCCAACTCCAGCCCACCCTGCCCTCCCCACTCTAGGCGGGTGTGGTCCCTGTGCTGTCTCCCACTCCGGGGGTCCTCACACAGCAAGTGCTAGCCCCCCGCTCATGGTCAGGCTCATGGCTGGACCCGGGTCCAGAAGGGTCAGAGTCTGGGCCTGCCTCGCTCACGTCTCTCAGCCCCAAGGCTGGCACTGAACAAGTTCATGCGCACTTGCTGGTGAAAGGCTGGCAGTTCCAGCCTACCCAGGGGCACCTTGGTGGAAAGGCCTGGAGCTCTCCTCCTGAAAAATCTGCCACCACCAGCCTCACCACTCATGCACACGGAGTCCGGTCGTCATGGGTCAGAGTTAATTCAGTGCCACCAGGTGACTGGTAACCGATGACCCAATGCTAGACCCCCACCCCCAGGACCCATCCCTGCTCACTGACCTCTGACATCTGTGGGAAGAGGCTGATGGCCAGCGGCAGGGCCAGGCCGAAGGCTGCCAGGCACACGAGGCTTTGCACGGGGAGGAGCAGCCGGGGACGCGCCTGCAGAAGAGCTGTTCTGTGGGGACAGAGAGGAGGGGCCTGAGCGTAGGGACGGTTGGGCTGGCCACTTTCTGCCCAGTGCTGGGTCCCACTGCAGCTTCAAGGCCAAGGCAGCAGGGCCCCAAGATTCCTGACCATCTGTAGCTAAAGAGCTGTGCTGGTGGGTTTGGTACCTGGAGTCTTCCTTGACCGACAGCCCTTTCTCCAGCCTTGCCTGGAAAGACATGCTTGGTTGAACTCTTTCCCACCGACATCATAATTGAGCACTGCCCCCGCCCCAACCACCTAATGTCCTTCATTCCTGGGGGAACAGGGGATGTTTGTGGGCACAGGTGCTTCGGAGACAAGTCACCTGGCAGGAGTCCTGTCCCTGTGTGCCCTGGGAGGTCCCAGCTCTGTCACTGTCTAAGTCGGG